CAAGGTGAAGGGAGAGGCACAGGGGGTGACCGGCAAATTATTGTGATGCTGAAAATAAAGGGGATTCACATGTTTAGGAAGGGAATAAATTTAGCTGGGCTCTCTCAAGTTTGGCCCCTTAAATTTGTGATGCTTTTCCTGGCATTGTTCATATGCCTTTAAATTATACCATTCTCATGACCATGGCTCAGCACAAGGTGTTCATTTTAAATGTACAGTACCAGTCTAAATAGCAGTTATGGGACCAAATTACTGTTCTGATCATTCTATCATTTATTTTCAACACAACAAAGGGTCATTGCATAGAATACATTAATGTATAAATTGATAAATTATCTCACTTTCATTGATAAGTCAATGTACTAATTGAGTTGATCACAATATACTGCACTGCCACTCCGTTACTGAAGCTTGTCAATCCTGCTCATGCAATCAGATACCTACCAAGTCCATAACTGCACTTCTCCCTGTCTATCCTTAATATCTTGAAACAGCAGTTTTGGATACATACAGTAGTCCTAGACACTCTCCTGAATGTACTGTAATTTGGGATTCAATGCAAAATCTGTGGAGATATATTGGTCAATGTATTGTAGATATCCAGACTTTGAACAAATACAGTAGAATCTATTTTCTGCAAATAGTTTCAATAATTGTTTATTTTTATTATTAACTGCTCAGCGACAATGAAAACTATTACCTAACACCCTTGAATACTTTGATAATCTTACAGTATTTAAAAATTCAAACTGCATTTGTCAAAATGTTGGATATAAATGCACCATAAATATTAGAGTGACTAGCTCCAGAGAGGGCCTTCATATACAGTAACTCAAAGTTACCCTGGAATTAATCCTGGATTATTAAAATAATTTAACTGGAATTTATGTCATGGTGGTGCTGCTGGAAGGTATTTGACCTGGAACATTGTTATATTGATTGGTGTTAACTGGTAACAGGAAGTGATAAGTTACAGGAAGTGATATCATTGGCAATCAATATAATATTTTGCTTGAAGTATTCTTATCTATTTTGCATAAGAAACACAACCCTGATCAGCTTTTCATGTCATTTGCACCATATTTTACACAGAAAAAATGTCTGTGGTTTTGCTTTCAATTATTCTATCAGTATGTTGTGTACATGTAAGTAGTGTACACTTGTATGTAAAATTGTAAATTATAGCTACAACTTTGCTACTCTATAATCCTCACTAAAAAATGATCAAATAAATAAGGCTAGTCAAGTTTCGATCTGATAAAACTCCGCGTAAAAATGTTTTCAATTTATTTTAAAACTCACATGATTATGTTGTTCTCAGTTCTCACTCTATAAGGCCGATTTTTTACGTTTTTTTCCCGAAAATCCAGCAAATTACGTTTCGATTTTGATGTGTGAACTTCGAAGATAAGCTCCCTCAGAACGCAGGAAATCGCATTTCCGAGGTCCTAGATTTCAAAATTTCCCGGGGGAGGATTCCCCGGACCCCCCTACAAATGCGAGGTTTAGTGCATCAGTCAACAAAACCACTGGATCCGCGCCTGATGTAAGTGGCAAATGTCAGATGGTCCGATCGATCGGATCCATCGGACAAGCACGTTTACGGACAAAAATTTTACCGATGGTGAAATGATGTCATTTGAACGCCAGGGGCCGGTTGTACGAAAGGTGGATAAGTTATCCAGTGGATAAGTTATCCAGTGGATAAGTCCTATCCAATGGATAAATCTCCTATCCAATGGATAGCTATCTGCCGAATAAAAATGCGTTGTACGAAGCACGGATAGCAGGGTGGATAGCTATCCGTCGGATAACCTTAATTTAACCGTATCTTCGTATAACTTGTGAATTCCACTAACCTTTGAACTATCAACTTGCAATAAAGGTTTTTTGTTCATGTTTATATTTTGGAGTTTTTCTCGTCCAATCGTTGCAATACTTCGTTTTCCCACAGTGAAGAGTTTGCTATCTACTTATCGATATTTCTTTAAAAGATTTTTGGCTTCTTTATGCGAAGGCAATAGCAAAGACTGCGAGTTTTGTTTTCTTGTTTCAGTATGTTGATTCAGTTTTATTTTATATACTGCCCTAATATTTGTTCTTTGACCTTTCACGTCACTCAAAACAATTTTAAGACCATTTTCTCGCAAGATTTGATTGGCTGATCAAGGCCAGCGAACAAAATTTTTCGACTTATCTACTACTATGTCTTATCTACTCTGTGGCCTTGTTGTCTATTTATATTGGCGTTGAAGGGAACTCATTTAATGAAAATTTTATTGCTTGTTTTCGAGCTATATAACAGAAAAAAAGGGAAAAAGCCAGAAAATGTAACGTCTAAGCACTGACACAGGTCTGCATATAAAAATATGGCAAAGTCATGGCATTATTTAATGGGCAAGTGAATCAAAGTGAGCTCGATACGTCAAGAGCAAGAGAAGTCATAAGTAAGTTTCCATGTTTATTTAGCGTCAAAAAAGGGACTTCTGTTCTAAACGGTATTTGTCCATTTCTATCACAATAGCAATCCTTTTTAAATGAAATACACATTGTTTTGTCTTCAAGTGCCTATAAACCCAAAATGGGTTTTTGATGATTCGGATAGAGCATAAAAAGTTACAATAGAAGTTCTAGATTAGAATTTGATTTAAACTTCTAGTTTCTGAGATACAACGGCTCAAAGTCCTAGATTCTGTCATTTTTGAAAAAAAAGTCGCGCAGTCAAAATTCACTGTAAAAGCCTGGGTCGGAGGAACACGTTCTTCGCCGTTCATTAGCTTTTGTATTACAAGTAGACGCAACTTCGAGAGTTTTTGCCTTAAAATGCCTAAACGGTGTGTCGTTTACGGTTGTTCCAACGTTGCTGACACAAACAAGGGTATTTCTATCTACCAAATACTTTTTTGGGATGATAATTCGCCCGTAGCAGTCAGGAGAAGGAAAATATGGCTGAGCTTTGTTTGACGCAGACGGGATAAATGGATCCCAACTAGCTCGTCGGTTGTGTGCTCAAAGCATTTCACTGAGGATTGTTTTGTTTACGGTTCCGAAAGTGTGGAAAAGTACAACACTCCGAGACTTAAGAGAGATGAACATGGGATTTGTGTCTTTCCTACAGTAGATACAAATCAACTTTCTGGCAGTGCGGAATCAGAGCGCACGAGTCGCATGAAGCGAAGGAAGGTATTGTAATATAACCTGAATACTTTGTTTATTCACCCGTATTAAACTCGCATCATTCGCGTGTTTATTTACATATATTTGAATATTTGATTTGTGAATCCAACTTTTTCCTGTTATAAACTTATAACGTATTTGCATAAAGTTTAAACGCTCTTATGAAGTTATGTCGTGTAAACAGAGTCAGTATATTATGGCTTTAATTAATACTGTATGTTGTTGTATCACACATGGGCCAACGAAATTTATTAGTAATTTTACTATACCCTTTTATTATACCCTGTGGCTGTGACTACTTGATGTTTCAATTTAAAACTAGTCAGGAAAAAAAGTTAAACACAATTCAAGTGAAGTTATTAAGGCAAATAAAAAACTGGCCCAACACGGCCAGGTCAAGTACTGTAGTCACTCTGTACAAGTACTGCCGGTCAAGTACTGTAGTCACTCTGTTTATTACTGTATAAGACTAATCTTTTGGTTTTAACTTGATACGACAACAGGAACTTTTTGGAAACTCTGATGAAACACTGACAACACCAACTGCTGATGAGCCAGATGTTGGACCTTACACATCTACAGAACAAGGAGAAATGGTATGGTTGTTGGTGTGGTCTCATTTTTTTATACAGTATGCAGTCACTTCGACAAACAAAGTTTCAATAGTGCTATGTGCTGTTGTTATGACTATCCACTTTTAGAGCCATAAGCCATTGTAGCTTTGGTTTAGTAGTAAATGAGTTTATATGAGAGTAAATAAATATAAAACATTTTCTGTGTTTGAGTTTACCCAATTTGCCACTTGTGTTGATATAACTGTAATATTATATCAATACAGAAAAAAAATGTTATATATGTTTTAGAATATAGCACAAAGAATATAGCACAA